GGCAGTTCAAATCCACCAGCCACTCCTTAGAAACACTATGGGGCAGTTCTACTCTGTCCTATAGGTTTGCTATGAGTCGGAACCGACTCGACAGCACCTAACAACAACAACAACAATCTTATCTGAGTGGTGTTCTTAAATAAAAGGAGAAGAGACACAGAGAAACGAAGAAAGACAGCCACGTGAAGGTGCATCTACAGGCCAAGGAATCCTGGGGTTACCAGGAGCAGGGAGAGAAAAAAAAAAAAAGGATTTAGAGCCTTTGGAGAAAACACGGCCCTGTCGATACCCTGAATTCAGATTTCTAGCCTTGGGAACTGTGAGACAATACACTTCTGTTCTTATAAGCCCCCACCTCATGGCATTTTGTTACAGCAGCCCTAGGAAACTAATACTGCACGTGAGAATGTCTTTCTCCCAAATGTCAGACTTGTAACAAGTCTGGATTACCTCTGCTTTGCAAACACTTTTTTTTTTTTTTCTTCTTGTTCTGTGAGCTGAAGATGACTCTTTAATGCCAGATCTTTCCATCTTTACCTAATAGGAAATCTGGACTATACCTTCCCCTCTTGAGTGCTCAAATGAGTTTTACATGTTTTTGGTGTATTTGGTCCACTGTACACCAGCAATGTTTACCAGGAAAGGAAGAATAGGGAAGGAGGAACAACAGTGCTGATACATGTAAAGGGCTTAAAAGAGTGCCTTGAACATAGTCAATGCTATGTATTTGTTAAGTACTGTTGTTTTATTGTAATTTCCTGGGTCTGTGGAGATGTGAAGTGGGAAAGAATAATGAGGGAGAAAGCTGGGTCAACTGGGTTATTTATTAGGGATTTACAACAATACTGTATCCCTTTCAAAGAAACCAGTTGCCATCGAGTCAATGCTGATTCCTGGAGACCCCATGCGTGACAGAATAGACCTGTGCTCCATAGAGTATCCAATGGTTGATTTTTTGGAAGTAGACTGCCAGGCCTTTCTGCCAAGAGTTTATCTCCAACTATACTTATTTCCCCAACCACATTATTTTTAGATAGCACTAGAGAGTTGATTATAACAATGTTGTTGAGAATGTAAATCTTTTCACTAAATTAGTCATGAATTTGTGTTTGTTCATTCATTGATTAATATCTATTTGAGTAGGGCATCAGGCAACTTGCAAACCTGCAAAGAACAGATCATTTTCCCTTAAAGCCCAGTGTAAACCATTAATATCTAACATGAATGATTATGTTTGGAAAATTCTGTTAAATCCCAAATAGATAAGACCAACTGCGAACAAATGGTCTAGGAAAAATATTTTGTAAGAAAAATGCAGTTTCTGTACTAAGAGACTGATCTCTTTAGCCATATTCATATATATCATAACAAAAAGTTTGCTATTGTTAACTATACAATTCAGTGACATTAATTATATTCAAAATGCTATGTTATTATCACTACTATCCATTTCCAAAGGTTTTACATCACCCCAGCAGACACTCAGTACCCCTTCAGCAATAATTTCCATTCTCTTTTTTCCTGAGCCCCTAGTAACCACTAATAAACTTTTGTTTCCATGGATTTGCCTAATCTAGATATTTCATGTAAGTGGGACCATATAATATTTGTACTTTTGTGTCTGACTTATTTCACTCAGTATAATGTTTTCAAGGTACATCCGGTCAAGGTTCACTCATGTCATAGCATGTATTAGAACTTCATTTACCCTCATTTATAATTTTGCATTGTAAATATGTACCAATTTTGTGTATCTATTCATCCATTGATGGACACTTGGGTTGTTTCCACGTTTTGGCTATTGCAAATAATGCCACAAGGAGCATTGGTGTACAAGTATCTGTTTGAGCCACTGCTTTCAAGTTTCTTGGGTATACACCTAGAAGTGGAATTGTTGAGTCATATGACAAGTCTATGTTTAACTTTTTGAGGAATCACCAAATTATCTTCTATAGCAGCTTCACCATTTTACATTCCCACAGAAACGAACAAAGGTTCCAATTTCTCCACATCCTCATCAACACTTGCTAGTTTCTGTTTTTCTAATAATAGCCATTCTAGTGGGTGTGATGTGGTGTCTCATTGTGGTTTTGATATGCATTTCTCTAATAACTAATGATGTTGAGCATCTTTTCATGTGCTTAGTGGCCATTTATAGATTTTCTTTTGAGAAATGCCTATTCAAGTCCTTTGCCCATTTTTTAATTGGGTTGTATTTTTGTTGTTCCCATTTCTTTTTTTTTTAAATTTAATTTAATTTTATTGTACTTTAAGTGAAAGTTTACAATTCATTAGCCTCTCATGCAAAAATTTATACATACATTGTTATGTGACCCTAATTGCTCTCCCTGTACTGTGACAGTACATGCTTCCTTTCCACCCTTGATTTCCCATGTTCATTCATCCAGCTCCTGACCCTCTCTGCCTTCTCATCTCACCTTCAGACAGGAAATGCCCATTTAGTCTCATGTATCTTACTTGAGCTAAGAAGCCCACTCTTCATGAGTAGCATTTTATGTCCCATAGTGCAGTCTAATCTGTGTCTGAAGAGTTGGCCTCGGGAATGGTTTTAGTTCTGGGTTGACAGAGAGTCCAGAGGCCATGCTTTCTGGGGTTCCTCCAGTCTCAGTCAGACCATTAAGTCTGGTCTTTTTACTAGAATTTGAGTTCTGCACCCAACCTTTCTCCTGCTCCGTCAGGGACTCTCTGTTGTGTTCCCTGTCAGGGCGATCATTGGTGGTAGCTGGGCACCATCTAGTTCTTCTGGTCTCAGGCTGATGAAGTCACTGGTTTATGTGGCCCTTTCTGTCTCTTGGGCAAATAACTTTCCTTGTGTCTTTGGTGTTCTTCATTTTGCTTTACTCCAAGTGGGCTGAGACCAATTGATGCATCTTAGACGGCCGCTCTCTAGCTTTTAAGACCCCAGATGCCACTCACCAAAGCAGGATGCAGAACACTTTCATAAACTTTGTTATGCCAATTGACCTAGATGTCCCCTGAAAGCATGGTCCCCAGACTCCTACCCCTGCTACTCTGTCCCTCAAAGTATTTGGTTGTATTCAGGAAACTTCTTAGCTTTGTTTTAGTCCAGTTGTGCTGACTTCCCCTGTAGTGTGTGCTGTCCTTCCCTTCACCTAAGATAACTCTTGTCTACTATCTAGTTAGTGAATAACCCTCTCCCTCCCTCCCTACCCTCGTAACCATCAAAGAATGTTTTCTTCTGTGTTTAAACCTTTTCTTGAGTTCTTATGATAGTGGTCTTATACAATATTTGTCCTCTTGTGACCCATTTTTTTATTTTTTAGTGTGGCTACTAGAAAATTTAAAATTACATATGTGGCTTACGTTCTACAAATATTGGACGGCAGTGCTCTAGACTTTCAAAACAGAGCGGGATCAGTATCTGTCTTTAAGGGCAATTAAAGGCTTAAAGGACAATGTTTCAATATTAAAGTTGTTACGCCTCTAGAAGTCACGTTTTTGGTGTTAAAACTCTTATCTATCAAAAACTAATAAATTTTGTAAGGACAGATACTTATCACCAAATTCTTCTACAATTCACGTTTTTGCTAGGTCCTGTGAGAGTTCTATGGTTATAATATGCAACATCAATATTTACAATATGGTCTCAAATATATCATAAAAGATTATAAGGATATATGCCAAAACGTTGAGTGATTACTTCCAGGTAATGGGACTCTGAGTAATTTTTGCATTCTTTTAATTATTTTCCTTCATCTTTCAATCTTTCAACTATGATTATTGTTTATTAGTTTATTCATCAGAAAATGCATATCTTTAAATTTCATTATGAGTGATTTTATAAATCTATAAAAATCACAAATATGTAAAAAAGGGGGCAGGCTTAAAAGAAAATACCTTGAAATACTTTAATAGTGGTTATAGGTAGGTGGAGAGACTGTGGGTGATTTTCTTCAATCTGCTGTTTCAAATTTTCTATAGTGAATAGGTTGCTTCTATCAAGGGAAAAATATACTTTATTTTAAATTACAATTACCACTCACCCTTGTAACGTTAAACTAAAGTTAATTTGCATGCTGATTTTCTTAGAACTCTTGAGGCTTTTATCTCTACTCTATTAGACTGAAAAATAGGCCCTTTAGATTTTAGCTTCAATCTTGATGCTCATACAGATGTCTTAACATTTTTATGATAAAACTAAACTAAATCCATTGCTGTTGAGTTGATTGCGACTCATTGTGACCCCATAGGACACAGCAGAACTGCCCCATAGGGTTTCCAAGGAGTAGCTGGTGGATTTGAACTGCTGACCCTTTGGTTAGCAGGTGAGCTCTCAACCACTGTGCCAGCAGGGCTCCATTTTTATGATAACCATCATCAAACAGAGCAGTATTTAGTTACAGTCTATGCCGGAGGTGGCGGCAGGGAAAATATCCAAAGGCTATTTTAATATGCAGGGCAACTGTGTACAGGAATCCAGGTTGTACTGCAAAAATGCCCATCTAAAGGGATGCCATTTACACCCGAGTTCTGTAGCAACTGGGGAGGGCACCCCCTTGCACACAGTCCAGTGCAGCTAATATAGCCATGTGCACACTCAGAAGGGCTCAAGTGCAGGTGCTCACAAGTGCTAGCGTTGTGCCCTATTCCAGTCATGCTGAGCATTCCCTGCAGGTAGTTCTCTCACCTGCTCTCCACTCTCACAGGCCAGACCCACCACCCTACACGCTTCAGGTATCATGGGGGAGGGGGTGTGACATGTGTGCAGAGCTGTGGTGTGTGCGCTCTGGTGTTAGTGTTATGAGCAGGCAATTGTAAGGATGCATGGACCAGGTCTGCTGTCTGCCCTGCAGGTACTGGAAAGAGCTAGGCTTTGAAAGGTCTGACTGGTATGAGTGTTTAGCCTGGCACTCGTACACACACAGTATATATTTTTTTCTTGACGACAGGCGTGTTTTTCAATTTGCATGAGGCAATAGACCTTTGACTATAGCACCTTTAAGCGCAGCAGGACTTACTGTTGGTAGTGAAGATGACGTCTCCTTCTTGGGGAGTGGGGTCTGAATCCTGGACCACCTGCAAGGCTCCCCCAGTCCGGACAGCAGGGTCCAAAGTGACTGAACTCTCGTTCACTGTCGTGTCGCTGGCGCCTGTGATCTGGTTGGTCGGTGGGCCTCCCAGAGAGCCCTCGAAGTCCGTAGGCAAGTCGTCCATGCAGTCGGCGTTGGGCTGATGGAAGTGAAAAAGGGATCTATTTTTAGTGTAGGTACTCAGAATGTCTACGGTCTAAATACTTTTTCTCAATAGAAAATTAAGCTCTTTATTGTTTTCTTCCTGAACTACTTTATTTTGAAACTATTCCACATAGAGTTTCTGTAAAATTAACATGAAAAGATCTTCCAAAATTTCCTTTCCGGAGGTTTTAATTCCAGGGAGTCGCAATATCTGTACATTAAAATAATTATTTAGGCGTATGATAGGGTATTTATTTATAATGACAGCACTTCCTTATATATAGTGCTTATTCCCCATATCAGAAAGACTGATAATTATTCCCAAAGACCCATGCATTATTTATACTAATATACTAATGGCACAACAGTGGCGGGGGGAGGAGGAATAGAATCTGACTCATGTGTTAATTAAAGACACACACACACACACACACACACACACACACAAAAGCACAGGGTAAGGCTATTTTTTAAAAAAATGTAAGCCAAAAAAATCCAGCTGTTGAAAAAATATCCCTATTTACTTAACCTTACATTGATCATATATTAGTGAAATCCTCTAAATTAAAACCTTAGAATTATAAAACTAGGATAAGACCAGTTTATTCAATCACCTACTCATTGCAGGACTCTTTTATTTCCTCCAATATTCCTGATAACTCCACTTGAACGACATAGAAATGAGATGCTCTCTGCTTTGCAAGACAGACTATGTCGGCCAAGGTTGTTAGACTATTCTATAAATGGGTATAATCTTACTTTTTGTAAATTTTACTCATTGGTCTTAGTACTGCTGTCTGAAGTGATACCGAATATATCTATAACTTTCCCCCATAATAGTTTTAATTTACTTTCAGTTGTTTTGCCTCTACCCAAACTTAGAAAATTATTTTAATAAGGTAGAGGGATATGATCTTGAGACTGTTAAGAATAGGTATTAATTTAATTTTCTTGCTCTGGCCTGAACTCCAACTTTGTCGTGAGGGACAATAATTACTTTTTTTTGCACTCCCAAAGTATGCAGATCAGGATGGACAGGGTTAGGTGAAGAAAATTCTGGGTTGGCATTCATGTAATTAACATCACAATGAGTGTTGTGTTCAGGGTCGATTAAAAGAGAAAATCTACACCTTATAGACTCACTGGCAGTAACTGGCAAGAAATCCAAAGCACTGGACTCTTGTCCTAGTTTTTTTCCTTAAGCTATGTAATGCCATGTAACGCCAGTCTCCTGCGTTCTACACCTACATTTCTAACTCAGTTGGAAATCTCCATCTCGCTAAACTTTCAAATTCAGTGGTTCTTAACCACAACTCATTCCTTTCTTCTTTGCATTCCCTCTTCTTTTTGCTTTCTCTATTGCTATTGGAATTGAGCCAATTCACTGAAACTCAGTTTGCCAAAAGTCAATTCACTTTGACCAAGTTATCAAATTTACTAAATGTACTGATTGTGATACTGGACATGAGTATGTATACATATGAACATTTGTCTCCCCATTACCAATCTCTCTATGTCCCTCTAGTCAATTCCCAAGTATATTCCATTCTCCTCTCTCTCACCAAAGTATTTTAAAAAACAAAACAAAACAAAACACAGATATGATTTTCCTCTTCTCCTAGGGAATGAAACTGCATTTGGCAAACTTTTTAGCATGGCAAAACAGAAGTTCTACAGCCTGGCCCCAGCCTGCCTTTCTGGCCTCACCTCCAGCCTTTGGAAACACAGAACACACCATACCTTTCCCTATCTCTCAATACTTTTGCTAGTGCTGTCCCTCTGCATAGAATGATTTTTGTCCGAATTACCCCCTCTTCCCACTCCAAGTTCTCAAATTGACCCCTGGTAAACCCCTAAACCAAACCAAAACCAAACCCATTGCCATCAAGTCGATTCCGACTCATAGGAGCCCTACAGGACAGAGCAGTTTCCAAGGAGCGGCTGGTGGATTCAAACTGCCGACTTTTTCGTTAGCAGCCGAGCTCTGGACTCCTAATCACCCTTTAATTATCAGCTCCAATGTCACTTTTCCTAAGTAGTGTTCCCTCCCAGGCAGCCATTCCTGTACCTGTAGCAGTTGATATGGCATTCCTTCGAGTGTGTTATGGTTACTTGTTAATGTGTCCATCTCACTCCACTAGCCCACAAACTTTCTAAAGTGAAGCAACCATTATCATACGCAGCTTGAATTGCAAGCTGCCAGCACGGTGCCTGATAACGATTAGGTGTTTAGTGAGTGCTGATTTGAATTTTATCCAAGTCTCAGTTTTCTGCTCTGAAAATTTGGGAATGTTAGCATCTACCCTAGATTAAGTAAGGGAGGATTTGAGAAGATACTCTAAAAAACTGTTAAAGTTCTGTGCAAAGATAAGATGTTACATAAAAAGGCTTATAGGCAAAACTAATTATGTGTGGGGTATCAGGAGGGAAAAGACCACAATGAGGACATTGTTCTGGTTGTTCTTTTAGCCATAAACATTTGAATGCAATGCATATGTGCAATAGCAATCTGACATATTTTTCAAAATGTTGTTCCTGGTTGTTGACAGTCCTTTCTTTATGTAGTTCCTTATTTCTGATGTTGGGTTTCTTTGCTCTTGGTTGGTAAGCTCGTAGGAGCAGTACTATATGTTTAGCAGAGGGATACGGGGAGAGAGAAAGAGCTCATTAGCTTGGTGAGACTGTTAAAGGCAGCAGACATGAACAATTTGGTTAAGATATAGCATTTAATAGACCAACCTTACAGAATCTCAGTTTACTTCCGCTCTAAAAGGCTCATCAAATAGAATATTTTGAAAAGAAACCCAATTTATATACCTCTAAGAGAAGTCACAGTCATAACGTTTAGAAAAACATGTTAAATATTATCTGTAAGTGATCACTCTATGGGTATTCAAATTCCGGCTAGCAAGGGGAAATACCCCAAACAGATCAATTGCTAAATAGTTAGGGACTTGCCAATACAGTAGCTTCACAGGATTTCCTATTCAATAGTAATCATCTTATTCATGTCGGGATAATCACGGTAGGAGGAGGTGTTTGCTGGGATTTGAAAAACCAGGTTATGTGATTCCTTATAGGAGTATTCATTGAAACTGCATTCTGCCATCCTACAAAGAAAGACCTAGACCTGATGGGATAGAAAGCAGGATGAAGCACTGCAATGTATACAATAAGATAAAAATACTTCTGACAATAAAGGACTTTTTTTTCCTTTCAGTTCACTATTTTATTTCTCTTGGCAAAATATAATGGAAAAAGGTACCCATTGTAATGGGAATTTCATGATCTGTGAGCTGTGCTCTTAGCCTTTAGCTCATTTCAAAGAAATCACTTACAAAATGAAAACGTACCCCACTCTTGGCTTTTAACTTATGCTTATATGCCTTATAGAGCAGACAGGCACCAAGATATTAAATAAAAACTAAAGAGAATAAAAAAGGCTTACCACCTGTATTTGAATAATCTAGTGGATCAGTATTACAATCAAGTCATTTGTGAGTGGACACTGTTCAAAGGTGAATCAGGGTGGATTTCATAAATACGACCCTATGACTGGCAGCCTTCAAGAATCTGAAGGGCTACAATTGCACAAACATTTATTAAGCACTTAGCATATGTAAGGGGCACGGAGATGAAGGACCAATTAATTATCAGGGTGACAAGCTCTTTTCAATTTTCCCCAAAAAAGAAGAAATGGCATTTAAGGCATTTAGGAACTATTTTAGACAAATTCTTTAAGCTGCATAATAAAGGGTTCCAGTTAGGTATAAGGAAGAGTTTTCTAATTGAGGAGCTGTGCGTTTGTTCAATGAGATGGAAGGTTTTAAGATTAGAATAGAACATCATCTCTTTGTTATAATTTAGGTTCGGTGCTACCCAATGGCAGGAAAATGGAGTAGAACAACATCCAAAATTCCTCCCAAATCCATACTTCATAGCATCCTCTAGGACAGAAAAAGAAAAGCCTTGGGCAGGCAGGGAGGGTAGCCAGATGCCTTGGAGCTCCGTGAGAAGTAGCTTACTCCGCGTGCCTTATTCTTCATGGAGGATGTTCTGTTCTCTGGGGCGTGCTTGGATGGGTGTCATGTTCCCTATCAGCTGGCCTTTAAAAATCCTTGGCAAAATTCAAAAGCTACTACTGATGGTTATTGTGCTGGAAGTCAAGTGTGCTAAGTAAAATCCCATCCAGTCTTGGTAGGCATCAAAGGACGGCCAGAATCCCAAACTGCTGAACATGAAAATGTTATTAGTTTTGGAAATAATCCAAAAGGCCACCCGATAAATTCTATTTTAAAACCAATTAATAGCTATATTCTCACCTCCTTTACAAATAGCTTCTAGAGAAGTTTGGAGTCAAATGCTACTTAATACAAAATGCAACCACCGGGGGTTGTTTGGTTTCAATGTCCTGACCAAGGAGACTGGGATTGTGATTTAGGAGCTTTGAAAATATACTGAGCAATAGGAACTAGGTCAAATGACATAAATGCCTTCCTTTAACTGTGAGTATTCCAAAGATTTTGGAGACCAAAGACAGACAGACAGATAGACACACACACATACACACACACATTCCCCCCACCCCGCGCCGTACGAGCCAGAAATGTTCAAAGGGGAAAAACTGAGTTCAATTTTGTAACCAGTATCTGGTAGAGATGTTGGGCTCTTAGCAATGTTTTATGTTCACTATAATTGATTTTCACCTTGAATGTATTATGCATTTGCAACTCAGGTCTGAAAATTTAATGTACTGCACTGCCTCTTAAAATCTAGCTCAGAGCTGTAGTCACACAAGTTGATTTGCGTTCGGTGTATCAACCACGCAAATCAGCATACAGCTGGCCTGGAGGCAGCTGGTGCAGGGGTAGAAAATGCAGCCACCTCCTCTGTCATCATGCTTCAGGTGTGCCCTCTCCAACAGTCACTCTGCTATTCCTCAGATAATTAGCATACTGGATTTAAAGAGAACCTTTGATATCTGATCTGATCCTTCCTTCTTCAGTAACCTCTTGGGACTATTCACATTCCCTTTATTCTCTTTCACAAGTAGCTGTCGAGGAGTAACCACAGAGAGCTTGCAGCAAAGTGGAGGGGGTGAGTGGGGAAGGCTGGCATCTCTATTCTATTTGTCTAGCTTCTTTTAGACAGTGCCTTTTGTTTTTCTCACATTTCTCTTGTGAAGTCCTCGGATTTCGTGGCCTGGCATACTTCCTGCCCTTGTCTGCTTAGGGGGGATAACGCGGAGCAGCTGGTGTCACATCAAACACAGTTTGTGGGCTTCATTTGATATAGCTCTGGGAAAGTCTTTCTCTGGAGTGTCGAGCCAGATGGCGGGATTCTCTTGGCACTGAGGGAGAGACTAAATTTTATAAAAACTTACTGAGGGAACCAGCTTGAGGGTAGGACTAGAATTAAGTGGCTCTGGCTCTGGTTTTCTGTTCACTCAAGATCTCCATAGAGCTCTGGGTTTCACAGCACACCGAGGCTCCGAGCCGGATCCCAGCAACTGTCTTCCCCTCACATTGTTGGGAAGAGCTCAGTTCCTCTGAAAGCTTGGTGACTGGGGGCCACATCAGAAAGCGTGGCATGCAAATGACCTGGATGATCGAGCAGGGGTGATGACACACAAAGAAGTAACCGATGTGCAACTGGCCCATCATGCCTCTGTGCTGTCCTACCTCCACTCACACACAGCAGCCCAGAAGAGAAGCCTATCAGCTGCATAAGCAGCATCTTGACTCACAGACAAATAAAATGGACGTGGTGAAAGGGTAGTGATGGTCTCAGACCGAGAAAAAGTGAGAGGAGGAATATTTTCAGACGGGGGCTGGATTTCTTGGCACTTCATCAGATGATGACACAGCTACGTGACTGAAGGGACATCGAATCACGGATGTTGCGTTGTCCCTGCTTGGGGTGACGCAGAAAGACAAGACATTATGGTGCTGTAGGCTGTGCTGTGCTTACCGGGATCCCTAGGGCTTTAAGAATGTTCATCTTGCACATGGGGCAGGTGCGATGGTCTAGAAGCCAGGGGTCAACACAGGACTTGTGGAAAAGATGCCTGCAATGAGAACCATACATCTTAGAGTGGAGGTAACTGCAGAGACCACCTACTCCACTACAGCCCGGCAACTTGTCCAACATCACTCAATTACTCAGTGGCAGAGCCAAGACTCGAACCTGGATCTCCTAACTCCCAGGCCAATGTGTCTCCTGTTATACCTGTTACGATATAGTCAAAATTTGTCTGGATCCCAGGAGTGTCCAATACTATTTGTAATGGAGTCTTCCAAGTTTCAGAAAATGTAGAGAATGTACAATGAACAGGAAGAATGTTTAAAGGAAAGAATGACAGTGGAGAAAATGCACACATCTCACAGGGTGACTTGATAGATGCTACTTTTAAATAAATCCAGTATTTTTTCCCAATAGACAGAAGACAACTGTAAAGCAAAGACTCATTTCCATTAATATTTGGGATCTAACAAAAAAGGGCAGAACAGCTCCTGCAGCATTAACAACACAAACGACATTTTGAGTTGTTACGGCTGCTGGTTGTCAAATCAGAAGCAGATGTCCAGTGAGTAAGCTTTACTGCTTGTATGGCTGATGCACTCAGCTGCATCACCATCGTCATCTCAGTGGCAGTGCTGTCGAGTCGATTCTGACTCATGGTGACCCCATGAGTTTCAGAGTAGAATTGTGCTCCATAGAGTTTTCAATGACTGATTTTTCAGAAGTAGATCACCCGGCCTTTCTTCCAAGGTGCCTCTGGATGGACTCAAACCTCCAACCTCTTGGTTAACAGTTGAGCACATTAACGGCTAAGGGGGCATTTAATAGGTGCACGAGGACCTTCTGACCTAATTTTCTCTAAACCTTGCTCCCAAAAGCCCACTCAGAGATTTCAGTTTCTCCTCAAGTCAGAAGTTTTTCTTCTCACTTGTAAGACTCTAGAATACAAGCAGAAGCAGTCAGAATTTCCTACCTGGGGCAAGAAGAGCGAGAACTGTCTGATTCAAGTATGAGGGCTTCCTTAGGACATTCCACTCATGCTTAACTCTCTGTCCTCAGTGGTTCACTGATCCATGAATGTTCCCACCCCGTTCTCTCATTCTTCTTTTCTTCTAACACTTCCCAAGGCCTCATTTTCTTTATGTTAAAGGGCTTTGGGCTCAAATGTGTAAAAACGACCTCCAAGCTAGAGCCAAGTTCATGAAGTGTCACCTTTTCAACTGAAATTAAAGAGCCCAAGTGCAAAGGACAGTATTAGCTGTATACAGAATAGGATCAGACTGGGGATTAGAAAAAGGAGAGTAGCCGCCAAGATGTGTCATTATTTCCAGATGATTGTTTAGGATGCCCTGCAGATTTACTACTTGAAAGGTATATATCTCATTCATTATTCATTCATCTTTTCTTTATATTCATTCATTCAACAAGTTGTATATGCCAGGAATTGTGCTCAACACTGGTGTTAAAAGATTTCACAGAGGCAAGGGTTAAAATGGCTTTCCTGGATCAAGAGCCAAACAAAAATCTGTCATAAGTCCGTTTATAAGAAACAACAGCTTTATGGTAATAGGGAAACCAAGGTCAAGAAGGGAAGAGTGTTGACACATCCTGGCGTTGGTAACCAATGTCACAAAACAATATGTGTACTAATTGTTTAATGAAAAGCTAGTTTGTTCTGTAAACCTTCATCTAAAGTACAATTAAAAAAAAAAAAAAGAAAAGAAACAACAGCTTTATGTAGAATTGAAATTTAAGCATTATCAGCATGAGTTAGCAACACTCATCCAATCAAGATAAGCCAGTTTAGCATTCAGTGACCAACTTTCCCAAAGCAAAAACCAAAAAAACCCATTGCTGTCCAGTCAATTCCAACTCACAGCAACCCTATAGGTCGGGGAGAACTGCGCCATAGAGTTTCCAAGGATCACCTGTTGGATTTGAACTGCCAACCTTTCAGTTAGCAGCCATAGCTCTTAACCACTACGCTACCAGGGTTTCCTTCCCAAAGCAAAAGGAAGATTAAATGTGATTAACCAATCAAAGCAAAGGGCAAGGTACTCAGCTAAACTTTAAAAGAGCATTGTAACTATGTAGGGGCCCTCGTGGTGCAGTGGTTAAGAGCTCAGGCTGCTAACCAAAAGGTCGGCAGTTTGAATCCACCAGCCACTATGGGGCAGTTCTACTCTGTCTTATAGGGTTGTGCAATGGCAGTGGGTTTGGTTTTTCTTTTTTGTAACTGTGTAAACTTGAGTCCTCTCACTATTTTAAGTTTGGGGTGCTCCCTGTCTGTGAACACTTTCTCGCTCAATAAACCCTGTTAACTCTAACTTGTTAATCAATTTTTTTTCTTTGAACACTTGGAATCAACAGTAACCACACTATCAACTTGGCTCCTTCCCTTAGGGAGTACAGTGGGAGAGGCAGACATTAATAAAATAATATATAAATAAACTATTTAATGACAACCATGCTAAGTATCCCCTTAGAAGAAGTACAGCGAGTCTGGGGGCTTGTACCTGGGAGACGTATCGTTCTCTGGGAATCAGGGAAGGTTTACCTGACAAAGTGACAAAGCTGAGACCTGAGGGATAACTCGATATTAGCCACATGAAGGGGAAGGGGAGAAGAAAAAGAAGGACGTTCTAGGCAGAATGGCTTGTGCAGAGGCCTGAGTTCTAGAAGGAGGCCAGTGTGAGGGAGGGGACAAAGGAGAAGAGGGATCTAACACCAGAGCTGGGTGAGGCTGCCCGATCCCCAGCGAAAAGCAATAGCAACCTCTCTCTGTCCAGGCTCTACACTCAGGGAACAAGTTTCTGATCTGAATTTGCTCACCAACTGGCATTCCTCTGGGCAAACAATGTCAAAGATCTGGCTGCCTTGACCATCCTGGGAGTCAGCCTCTATGTGATTTTGCACACGGGCTGGAAGCAGAATCACGGCAGGGTTGATCATTACCTGTTTTAGCTTAAAGAAGTCACTTAATAGCCTCAAGTCTCAGTTGCCTCCTATTTAAGATGAAGATATATCTACTCATTCAGAGAAGACTTCCCTAAGAAGCTACAGAGACGCCAGTTGTCATCCTCTAACACTCTGATAAGTTATTTCTCTCTATGCACTGGCCATTCTTACATCTTCTCCGACTAGAATATAAGCACCACGAGGATACAACATATTGTTGTATCCTCAGCATCTAGAATAGTTTCTGGCACACGACTGATGCTCAAGAAGCATTTTTTTTGCTGCATGAATCAACATTTATCAAAGGACCTGACACATAGTAAGCACTTGATATGTTAGTTTTTTTTTTCTTTTTTTATTGTACTTTAGATGAAGGTTTACAGAACAAACTGGCTTCTCATTAAACAGTTAGTACACATATTGTTTTATGATAGTAACTGACAACCTGACATGTTTTAATATCTGTCATTAAAATTCATAAATTATTGATTATGAAAGTATTTGCTTTGTTTCATGTGGAGAATAGATTTTGACTATTTGGGGGATGAAAATTGTCAGATTTACAAAGAGAAAACGCAGTTTCTCCACTCCGCCCTTCTCATCATTCTCTTCTTCACTGCCTGCCTGGTCATCAGGTCCCACTGACCTGCTCTTCCTAAGTCTTTCACATTCATTGCTTCTTTTCTTTTCTTAATGCTACTCTCTCATTTATAATCTCATTATCTTCTTCTCTGTATTACTGCAATAACATCTAAACTGTTCTCCATGCCTGCAATCTTTTCCTGTTCTTTTCATCCCACTCATCATTGCCAGATTTATCTTCCTAAAATAAAGCTCTAGTTACGTCACCTCCTTGTTCCATTCTGTTCTGTGCTAAGAACTGGGTACAAAGATGAATAAGACAAGTTCCTGCCTTCAAGAAAGTACCATAATCCTCCAATGGGTCCCTGTTAACTACAATGTCAAGTGCTGTTGAAGGACCACGATCCTGGATCCACCATTTTCCGGCTGTTTGATCTCAGGCTAGTTACCTTAGCTCTCTAAGACTCAGTTTCTTTATCTGTGAAATATCTCGTAAGCATGGATTTGTGAGTGTATGAGAGAAGGGGTGTGTGTGTGTGTGTGTGTGTGTGTGTGTGTGTGTGTTTATGAGAGACAGAGAGAGACACAGAGAGAATGAATAAATAATAATGCCCACAAAGCTTAAAATATAAACCATGGCACCCCTTAATTATAAGTTATCATTAATCTTATTAATACCATTGCATTGTATCCTGTTTTTAGAGCTTAGAATATTACTATGATTTCTGTTCTTTAGTTTAACCTATCTAATGTGACAAGCAAGTAACTGCAAATTTTAAAAAATCAAAGGGAGAATTAAAGGCAAAAAAGACACGTGCCGAAACAACACAGAGGGCGATCAGGCTTATTATTAACTAACATGCACTTACGTCTATAGCCCCATATTTCAGATATGACAACTATATCTTTATAGCTGGGACTGCAAAAGAATTTTCCCCTCCCAAATGGAAAGAAAAAAAGAGTCATTAAACTAAACAAACAAACAAAGGAATAGAGAAAGACTCTGGATTTAGTGAACTACACCAACAGTTCAGTAAACATCTCTAATGCAAAGTGAATCTCAACTCATTCTATTTTATAATTCTCAGGGGAGCCCTCTCCTTCCCACATATGACACACGCTGCATGAGAAAGTACATACAAAGGAATGGGACCAGATATTCTATCTCTTAACAATCCCGACAAATTGGAAATACAACAGATGGTTGACCAAAACTATTCTTTGTTCACCAAAGGGAAACAAACCTGTTAGAAGGGGTTATTCAAATACCTAACAAAAGAGGATGCTGACCTGACAACCACATAACAATGCTGAGATGATTATGAATGATAAAATAAGTTCTCATTTTTTTTTTTTTATTTTTAGCAATAATGGTGTTACAGATTGATCCGTGTACCCCTCTAAAATATGTTGAAGTCCTAACCCCTGTACCTGTGATGTGACCTTGTTTGGAAATAAGTTCTCTTTTGTTATTGGTTAAATTAACTGGAGTAGGGTGGGTCCTAA